TCATCATTAAATTTTGGAGAAATTGTGGTTGATTTACCAGTTGGGCGGCAATCAGGATGTGGGGTCTTGGTGTTTTTTTTGCAAAAACACAAAATTAGCAGGGAAATTACGGCCGCCATGGTCACCATGCCGAAGAGAACCACTAGAATTTCACCAGAATCACTTGGAAGAACCGCGGTAGTGTCACTCATCTTCACTCGATTTTCTCGCTGTTTATCATTCAAACATCGGACACAATATGCTTGAGGAGGTGAAATTTAATTTTAGTTCTACGTAGACATTTACACTTCAAGATTTTATCTAATCATCCGCATTTCGTTTGTTTGTGGCGATTCCACTCGAAATTGCTCACATTCTTAATGGCGAATGTCGACCATAAATTTCCTCAATAACGCGCAAACCATTCAAAAATTCTCGGCTAATTGTTATTTAATTGGTATTCGCCATGCGGTTTATCTTCATTTGGATTTTTCCTCTTAAGTCCAACAAAAGCGCTAAGAGCCGATACTTGAATGGTTCATTTGGCACGGTTTGAGTGAAGTTATCTATTTTTGGATTCGGCTTCAAGCTTTTGACCAACAAAAACCAAATTCTTGGTTTATGTTTTTAGTGTAAATTTTCGTTCGAAAAAAATATGTCTTCGTGCTGGCCAAAAATTCTGAAATTTTGCTCAGAATTATACATTTTTAGTTAAATTATTGTCTCAAGTCTTGCTATTTGAGCTCTTAACACGTCTCATCTAACACGCGTACTTTGGGCATTGTCGAGCAAATTAAAAATGAGCATTTTTCATTCAAGAACGCTTTAAAATGCACCCTTAAACTTCTCTCAACTCAACTCTCAAGCTCTTAAAAAAGCTTGAGCCAAACCTCACATAATTCACGCACTTCTCAGCTTTTTGGAATCGTAAAAAATGTTTTGAGCGTAACAGATTTGCTTTAAAATCCGCATGAGAAATTGTTCAAAAAGTTTTTTATTTTTTATTTTATTTTCAAATATGCTTTTGAGACAGAAAATGTCCTTTCAAATGCTGTAAAAATTAAATATTGCGCTTCTGGTCTACAAAAAGCTGCAAATCGTATTTTGAATATTCTGATTTTTTTTTCATTTTCCTATTATTGTAGTATTGATCAATTGCTTTCAATTTTTTATTTTTCTTAATTTTTCAGGCATTTTTCAGGTTCCATACTACAGCTTTTTAAAATTAACTCACTATTGTAGTTATTAAGGGCTTAACGTTTTAACAAAAAAAGTTTTTAGTATCAAATAATTTTTTAAAATATTATTTCCAGAATTCTTAACATTGCTCCAAAAACTACAGATTTTTAGTAAAAATATTCATTTAGGTCTATTTTTCTCCCATACTTCCTGTATTTCACTGTTTTGTGCAATTCAAAACACGCGTTTTTCGCTTAAAACCATTATTTAAAATTTGCTATTAAAAATTAAAAAGAAAATGTGGTATTAAGAATAAAATATTTTTCAAAAAGTCAAACTCACCGTTGTTTTTTATCTTTTTCTCTTTCACTCATTATCATTAGTGACAGAGAAAGTGTTGATTTTCGAAAAATCAATGCTTTGGAGTTCTTTGGCAAAATTGTTAAAAACTCATGCAGAAGCCGCATTTTTACTGTTCACTTTCACCAACTATTTCGCAATGAATTTCGGATAAATATTGCATAGAAATCGCAATAGAAAGCGAAAACCTACATGTTTATATGTCAAAGTTAAATACACGTCAATAATTCCTGTCATTTATCTGACTCGGTTGATTGTTTGGTGACTGATCGAAGACAATGGGCGATTTGTCTCGTCAAAATTTTGAAAAATCTCGGTATTTTTCAATTCTCCTTAAAAAAACTGTGAATTTTTCGCATCGGAAAGGTTTTGTCCACCGTTTTGGATAATTTTTTGGGCCGGTAGTGCGATTTTAGGCAAAAAAACGCGATTTTTCCAAAGTTGTCCGAAGTCTGACGTTTGACTGTCACTTTGACACGCGACCAAGGGTAAGTGCAATGTTGGACTTCCAAGCATACAGAGCGTGCGAAATTATTTACTCAACTGAACTGAACAATGGCGAGATTTAATTTTCCAACAATCGCAACCTGATTTCTTGTGCATCAACGAAAATATTTATAATTCGTCGAATATATTGCATTTCAATTGATTTTTCCATAGACATTTGGACTTAATTGGCAATTTGGAGAAATTGAGATTAAAATTTAAAAAAATAGTTTTTGCCTCAAATACTCTTCATAGTTTCATTAACACATTTTTGCTTAGAACCGCATTGGAAACACTTTTCAACTGGCAACAACCTGTAGATGACTGCCAACGACCTTAAAATGAAACGCGTTCGTATAATACAAGGGCGATTATGGAATAAATCAAGTTTATTGGGCGGAACTATTAATCGCACAGAACTTACAGTTTCCTCGACGAGGAAGTGCCGAAGTTTATTTTTTCTAGACAACCATTTGTCTGCATCCATTTTCAACAAACGATATACAAAAATATTATCACTTCAAGTACATCTGGCACGTATTGAGATAAGGAACAACCGAAAAATCATCCAAAAATTTCCAGATTTTACTTTTTTTTCTCAGTACTAGCGGACTAAATCAAAGGGTTTTTTTTCCAGATCTAGCTATTGAGGTTTTTCATACGCACCTTGTCCACAATAGCGCTTTTGCCTCGATTCATTACAGTAGCATACGATTAGCACGTAAATTATGCCAATAACCACTACAAGTCCAAAGCGAATCGTATTGACTATGTAGTTTGGCTCCATCTGCATGTCGTCCGTTCCCGTATCACTCATTTTAACTCGTTCTTCTACTATCTTCAACTGTTAAGAGATAAACTTCGACAACAAATAGCCAATTATTGGCTTCCTTAATTGTATATATATTTGCACTCAGAATTTAATCTAATTTTATCAAGTATGACACGTAGAGGCATTCGTTTTTGAGGCTAATCTGCACTTGAACCAGGTTGATTTGTTTATTTTGTTTTTTCAATAATCTGGGSTTCAGTTCGCAAAAAAAATACCTTACTAAAAAGATAGTTCTTTTGGGCCACTTGCACACATWAACATGAATGCAATAATTAACGSGTATTTAAGTGAAAGTATTCGAAAAATCTGAATCGTTTGGGTAAATCCTGATGTGGTAAACAACTCAATCCTATCAGAGTTTCTGGGAATTCACAAAATTTTATTAATTTTAATTGAATTTCCACTTTTAATATCAGAACCAAAGCACTTCCAGAGTGGGTTTCGGACCTGATAGGTTCGGTAGTTCCGCTTATTATCAGGTGAGCTCGTTTTTGGATGCAAACGTTCATTTTAGGACCCGCGTGAAACAGTAGGAAMAATTCAGGATATGGTGAAATTTGAATGAAAATTTTTCAGYTYGGAGATTAAATTGCATGTTATACATTGTGAAACTTTTARGTYCATACTMGCCCCAGATTAAGAAGTTACAATTTTTTTAAGATCGCRCGTTTGGCTGATTGCTGTTTCATGTTTAAATAGCAGGAATAAATCAGGAGTTAGTGCGATTTTCATRAACATTTCTCAATTTTGAGCCTCAACTCTCTGCTATATGCTGGGCAACTTACAACTTTGTACCTGCCCCAAATAAGTAGTTACGAATTTTTTTAAGAGACTGCGCGATGGTCAGGAAACGATCATTTTAAACCCTCATTTAATCGGCAAGAAAAGATCAGAATTTAGTGGGATTTCAATTAAAATTTTTCCATCCTCAAGTCCAAGTCTTTGGTTTTTTTTTGGGTAAATTACAAGTTTGTACTTGCCCCAAATGAGTTGTTACGAATTTTTGGAGGAGACAGTGCGTATGTCTAAAAACGCTCATTTTTAGACCTTCTTTTAAACAGCAACAAAAATCAAGATTTAGTTGCGATTTTAATGAAAATTTCTCAATTTTGAGCTTTAACTATCTTCTGTATTTTGGACAATTTTCATGTGTGTACTTGTCCCAAAATGAGGAGTTACGGTTTTTTTGGGAAGAGCGCGTTCGTCTGGAAACGCGCATTTTTAGACCCTCATTTAATCGGCAAGAAAATATCAGAATTTAGTGTGATTTCAATGAAAATTTTTCAATTCTTAAGATCCACTGTGTGGTGTATTTTGGGTAAATTACAAGTTTGTACTTGCCCCCAATGAGTAGTTACGAATTTTTTGAGGAGGGCACACGTTGCTCAGGAAGCGCAATTCTGTTCTAAATTACTCAACTACACTCTTGACTTCTACAAAAATCTCTAAAAAAATTATCTCTGGGACTTGAATTTTTTGAATATTTTCAAATATTTTCCAAATGAAAAAAATATAAGCACTTTATCAAAGGTTTTCAATGAAAACCCCATGAGAAAATCGGCAAATTTCTATTATTGAATTGCATGTTTTAGATCGGAAAAAGTCCCGATTTATTCGAACGAATTGAAGAGAGAAAATAAAACTTTAAGGAGACTTTAAAGCTTCAAGCAATTAAGGAAAGAAGAGAGGTTTAATGCTGTATGTTAAAAATGCTGAGTATCAATATACTACAGATTTTTTAGTTTTTATAACTTTTAAGGGAGTTTGAATCATTTCAATTAAACTTTTTTTGCGTCAATTTGTTTACTTCAAACAGATAAACACAAAACAAACAATAACTGAAATCTTATCGTCCCACTCACCATAATTAATGTATCTTCTAGACAATCGCTCTTCAATTAAAACACTTATTCCACTCGCGCTGTAATGGCTCAACATGCCCACATCCATATAGAGCTTTTTTTGAAAATACCCGTACATTACAAGGATTAGTATTAGAAGGAAGGCTAATAAAATATAAACTTCTGATGTTGTCGACATTACTTTACAGCCAGCCGATATAAATTAATACGCTTATAACAAACAAACATGCAAAAAGTTAAGGTCGTTGAATAAATCTAGGTGGGGATATAAAGACCAAGATTATTATCATATTAATAGATAAAATGGGTGTTATTGTTTTGAAAAGAGGAGAGTGGTCAAGCAGTGCAGATAACCTTTGAGTGATAAATTATGAGCGATTTTTTTCTGTTTAAAATCAACAATCCTTGATTAAGGAGAACAGTAGCGCTTTGTTGCCTTAACGATATAAATGAGTTTAAACTGGCAAACTAATGGAATTTCCGATGGGTTTTATGACAGTGCGAAGCATAAACGATCCAAGTAAATGAGTACAAAATTGGCTGAAACTGGTGAGTTTTCGGATTTTAACTTTACCACTTCTGAGGCTGCATGCCCCTCGTGCTTGCTTGAGGAGAAACTCTTCAGTTTTAGGCCTGAAATTATTTTAAACTAATGTCGCTTACCTGTTGCCCCGCCGTTAGCAACATCCTCTCTTTTCAGGCGCGCCTTGCGAGCTTCCAACGCCTCGGACAATATTTTCACCAAATAACAGAAAATGAAAATGCCAATAATTAGCAATGGAAAGAAATCGAATGTTTCCATTTCTGCTTGTCGTTCAGGTGCCAACTGCACTGCCAAACTGTACAGTAACAGATAAATAAAAATTGCCATAAAGCGATAAGATAATTCTGTTCATGTGCATAATTAAACTGACTGAGATTGTATTGTTTCAGCTACATTCTTTTTCGATGTCTAGTCACGTTGGGCTGAACTCGCACTTTGAATAATTTAGACGCTGTCAAATGGGGGGAGAATGATTTAATTTCATCTCAACGACGGATTTATCTAATTTTCAAACCGTCCTAGTCTCGTCCCAACCGAAATGGCTAAAATTTCCACAGTTTAACGTTAAAGTTTAACGAGTCTGTGCAAATACGCAGTGGATGTTTTAACGAGAACACTCGGTGTATTTGGCAACAATTTTGCCTTGGATATGATTTTTTAATGACCATATTCTATCTATTTTTTGAGTAGATGGGCTTTTAAAATTTCGCACTTGACATCCTGACATTCAAGTCTTAATTGATATAAATTAATCGACTTAATCTCGCGGACGCAACAATTTATAACATTGGCTTTTGGCATTATTTCCACTTTCCTCCGGATTATGACGACAACTCACACGTATGCATGAGGTTGCAGTCTCTAGAAACTTGCGAGCAAATTGAAAAATGCTTAAAATCTTGGATGCTTTTTTCATATAACGCGCTTGAAGCCAGAAAAATAATTATCAAAAAACAAACTTACAACAGTCAATAAATTCGATATTACATGCACGATTATCCCGCCTGATTCTTCGTCGTCTAGCTGCTCTTTCCTCTCTGCAAGTGACCCGGATGATTAAAGTTAAGCCCACTAAAATGATCAAAACAGTGGACAGATACACATATGCCGCCCACTCCATTTTAATAGCACTTTAATTGAGTAACGAACCACTTTCCACTAGTGTTTGAGTGTTTAGGTGCGGGGTTTAGTAGAAACTGGGCGGTTTCTGGTCGCAAAAGTTAGAAACAAAATGTATTTTGGCTTCGATAAGATAGATAATCTGCCTAACCAGCAGATAGCAGCCGCAAATATATGGCCGGAATTTATTAAGGGATTTCGATCTGTTGTTTCAAGGGCTTAAGAAGAATTTGGATTATAAATTACTTTGTTTATCCATCATAGATTAGAGACATTGTTATTCGATGAAAAAAGAGAGTAACATAATAACGGTAGGAGGAATTTCGTAGATACAACGGCCTCAAATAATTACAGTTAAAGCCCTGGCTGTTTTGGTGTAAAAATATTGCGCTATTAAAAGTTCTTGAGTAAAAAGTTTGGTAAAATTCTTACTTGGGATTTTTACTTTCTTATCTCTGACTCAATTGTCGAAAAACATTCCAAAAATACACACGTATAACCGGCGATTTATTGCTTATAGGCCTACCGGTTTGCCTATAATTCACGTGGCGCTGTCAAAAAAAGGGCCTACTATACTAGCAATCACGAGCTGATCCGGAAACTTTCAAGGCCGGCATTCGGAAAGCGAAGTGAATTTTATATTGCAATTTGCCCCAAACACGTTTGGGTTTGGGTTTAGGAAGGAATTCGTTTCTATAGCGGACGAAAAGCCCCTGAAATTTTTCAGTTTTGATCTGTTTTGCGTCTCTATTCCCAAAAACTCCACATAGAATATATTTCTCTAAAGTGAAAGTTTTAAAACCCTAATTTGGACTGGAACATTTTTAATTCTTCATAAACATTTGCTGGAAAACAGTTCAGTTAAAGCAAATTTCCAAAGAAAACCTGCCAAATTTTCAAATTTTATTGTTTTTCTATAAAGATTCTGAATGTATTCAGCTGAAAATGTTTACTTAATATTTATTAATCATCTTTAATCAAACTGATTGACCTAATTTTTCTTATTTACTTACATGCGTGGCGAGTTCGAAACGCACAATTATTACACCGATGAATACAGTCCATAATGGCCAAACAGAAGAACACGGAGAAAAACAAAACGATTGCAAACGTACTTAAACCGAAAATACCCCAATAAATTGTATCCATATTGTTCACAACTGGAAACACTATTTCGATTCATTTGCCCGAAAAATGTCTGAACCAACGTTGAGATCGTGTTGATTAAAGATAATATTTGTTGACAGAGTTTTATTGAAATTATAAAACGTGTTAGCAAATGTTGTAAATGAGGAGCGACGCTCCTGATGACTTGGAAATTTTGCTGGAAGTTTCGCAAAATTTCCTCAGTTCACAATTTTGTGCATGTTTGGAACACCATCGAAAACGATCTTGTATTTAATATTAATAAAGCAAATAATTCAGTTTATGTTTACTGCACATTCAGTCTACTTAATCTTCTGAAGCTGTTGATAAGCCGACTATTACGCAGCTCATGTATATCAATAGGGAAGAAACTGTGAGTTTGCAAAATAGATTCTAACTAACGTTTCGCAAGAAGGAAGGACTTCCATCCTCATACTAGTTTCAGTAGAGCTTGCACTGAATATTCTTTGAATGGTTCTACTCAACTCCAAAGGTGTTTTTGTCGAAACGTTTCGGTTGGTAGTGTCTTCAGTCATTTTCCATTCAAAGACTATTCAGGGCAGCTTTGGAGTTGGAAAAACGCCGTCGAGGCCAAAAAAAGCACACGTTTGTTTTTACTATTATTGTCTACTTACGAGTATCATTTGTGTTCCAGACGCAATACGCGAACATCAGCAGGCGAATAATCAGAAGTAAGCCACAAAAGGCCATCATATAGAACACGAAAGAGAGGAAATACATGTAAAAATCCCTTTCGAACATCGCGGTAAATTTTCGTTCTCGGGTACTGCAATCACCAAGAGTTTTCACTCGCTTACCTTTAATAAAATTAGGAGCAACTGACTGGTAAATGTATACAAAGATAAGATAATTCTAATGCCGTCATTGTCTACATCTTAATTGCTAAGATTTCTCTCTGCTTACTTGCACATTGTTTTGGCAAAACAGGGACCTTTTCGTCAAAAAACTTGCTTGGGCTTAAGTAAGTTCGGATTTTTGCTGATTTATTCACAAACTTTCCCGAATTCGAAATTCTGAAAAATTTTAACAGTTTTTTGCGCCAGCACGAATTCGAATTTCAGAACTTGAAAAGTGAAACTCGAATTTCGAATGCCAATATTTGCATGGTGTTCATTTGCATTTATTTTGTAAATTTTATATATTTATATTTTGAACACTTGCAGGATTATTTCTGTGGAAATTTCTGTGGATTTTTTGTCTAAATAATGTTTGTGTTAATCCTAACTAAAAAACCTCCAAGTGTTTGCAATCGTTCACACTAAAGAACAATCGTTTCGAAATCCTGCAAAGATTAGCTCTGGCTATCAGGAAATATTATCAAGCATTTTCGATATTTGCGGTGCTGATAATGCGAAATAATGCTACTTTTGCTCATTATTGCCAACCATTGTGTTAACGATTTTTTGCGCTAAGCTTCACTCGTTTTGTGCGATGGTGCGTAGTTTAATCAATACTCCAAACCGGTTTTTTTGAGTGTTGAAGTAAATAGATGAAGATTAGATTTTGGATCATATCTTGGACGCACAAACTACTTCAAATATTGTCTGTTCTGATGACTTGATTGAAACTCGTCTAGTTCTTAAAAATGGCCAACGTTTCGACCCATTTCCAAATTTATAACTCAATTTCAAACTAGAGATACTAGAGGGATTAGAACCAAGTCAACCCATTGAAAAGCTATTTTAAATAAAGGTGCGGAAATCGTCGAATTTTGCCAGAAACTAATGATTATCTTGAAACGTTTTTAATGTTTACAAGCAGACCTGTTGTTCAAACTGGCTATCAGAAAAATAAGTTCGCGCCGTCATTAGGAAAGGGATTTTCCACGATTTTGCCTCATTTTAACAATATTTGTTGCATGTTGGTTGTAAAGATTACAGGCTCCTTTGAATCCAGCTCACTCGGTTTTTAGTAATATTACATAAGATAGTAATAAAAAATCTATTTTCGACCTCGTCAGTATCAAGATTTATTATGTTTTCCTTCATACACTCACCATTATTTCTCTGCGCTTGTCGTCGATTCTTAATTTCCTTCCGTTTTCCGATAATATAATTAATTATTGAAATTGCCACGATTAAAAGCAATATAAAACCGAAAAAGAGCATTACTTCGCTTCGGGGGCTCAACATTTCAAACCAGAGCCTGAGAGACTCTAAAACCGTCACTGACTGTTGGTTTAATGGTTTTCCGTTTTTTATTGGGACGCAAAAGTTCTTATCATCAGTCGCTATTAAATATTATATATTGGCCTCATATATCTTAATTCCCGACGGACTGGAAATAGATGAACGATGGGCAATTTTACATTTTTTAATCGATAGAATTAATGCTCGAACTGAGTTGAGATGAGAGTTTCTTGCTCTTGAAGGTCCGCAAGAGTTTCCATAATTTCGTCCAACTCTTTCTCTGTGTGAAGAATGTGTAAATTTCAATTCTTGTTGAGTTCATTCTCTGGGTTTATCTTTAATTTACTGCATTTTGTAATGTTTCCTTCTTGGGGTCAGAAACAATCCATACAGCTCAAAAACACGCACGTAAAATTTTGATTTTTGCTCGACGAATTTTGCATCATTTTCATCTCAAGGAAAAGATGAATGCAATGAGCTGATTTAAAAACACGCTAGAGCTTCAGATTTGAAATGATCAAAGTTTTTTGGCCCACTTTAAGCAATTTTTGAGCGGTGCTGATCTTCAATCTCACTATACAAATGCATAGCCAAGAGCTTCTTGGGTCGGAATGCATCCACTGAGCGCAAAAGACACGCATACTTATAAAATTTGATTCTTGACCAAACATTTTACACTTCTACACTGGAATATGTTATTATTGATCGAGCGATCATTTCTCACAAACCCTCAATTATCGTTCAATTAGCTTAGTTTTCCCTTCCAGTTTTTTTTGCGTATTTATTTTCAAAAATTTCAAAATCACTGGGGATTGATAACGAGGGACTTTTCTTTAAGCATTTATCGCGACGCTTCAAAACATAATAAAAATTAATCTTACATGAACGTCATTGAGTGCCAACCTACTTTTGATTCAAATCGATAATGGACGCAATGATTTGTTTTAATCCGGTAGAATTCTGCTTGTTTGATGCGTTTGAGCCTCAAATTGAAAAACTACTAAACCAGAGGGAAAAATACGAAAAAAATATTCCTCGTAGATTTGTTCAGGCTCCATATGAAGAACAGATGAAACACAAATCACTTTGCCAGTTAAGCCTATAAACATTTAATCATCATTCGCTTCAGATAATCAGCTATTTCCATTGCTTTAAACACTTGAATTTTAATGGAAATTCCAAAATTTCATGGGTTTTTAGACAACTACGCAATTGCGGATAGATAATTCTTTTAACTCGTACTGTTTCCTTCATACAGAATTATCATTGTTTTTCAAACTACTTGAACATCGAAATAAAATAATTAAAAAAGCGTCCCGTGGTGCAAAGAGCCATATCCCAAGCCTGCAGCTAAGCGCTCATTGGTTCTAAGGTTGCGGCGCTTTCGCTTATGGTCTTTGCACCACGGGTGGCTTTTACTTAGCAGCGTAAAAGACTTTCCGAAGAAATTGCACACATTTTTGAAGTTTGAATGCGTCTTACCTCGAAATTGCTGTTCAGCTAGTCGCCGTACGCGCCTTTCCTTGACTATCTTGCATTTTCTTTTGATAATAAATGACATCCAAATAATCTTCAGTATTCCCAAAATGACAATAGCAACAGCCACAAATTCACTTCCAGCCATTTTTTATATGCTAATTACTGTACGGTTGAAGCAAGCGTATGGCCAAAGACAGAATACGTTCACGTGGCCCTTGAATTCGCATATAACAAAGCCATCGATCTTATCAAAATCCTGCTTCAATTTGTGTGATTGTATCAATAATTTTTCTACTATCGGAAATTCAGATAGGATTTGATTAATATGTTGAAGTTTCAAAATGGAAAGTTCGTGTTTTTAATGCTAAGTGGCCGGTAAAACAAATTAGGGTTTGGTGGTCAAAGCAATTTGAAGAGCTTTGAAAAACTATGAAACTTTTTGGTATCACCAGTCAGTTAAAGGCTTCAAAAGCAAATAAGTATAGATTTCGAAATGTGCTAATCTCAGGCACTAGCAAAACCGATTTGGCCCATATATTTTTCAGGAGTGTTATTTTCAGGCCCAGCTGGTGATGCTCGAATGTTGCGCTGGAGGGTGTCTGAGGTCAGCACATATCGTTTCAGTTTTTATTAGTATACTCCTTTGATCAATGGAAGTAAATAACCGTTATTGAGAATTGGAGCATGTTTTTCTATAATTTGTCAAGAAAAAAATAGGCGGTTTGATTATGGGAAAATTACAATTTTCCTGATGGTTCAGGACGTTTGATTTAGTGTCTTTATTTGGTCTCTTTAACGTTAGGATGAAAACGAGCTAGAAAATGGGCAAAACAAACAACAAGCACCCAATTAACATCAAACTAAAGCTCCCGGTTCTGGTAGTTTCTCAATTTTCAGAAGTTAACTTACATCGAAATCGTTGAGCATCGCGCTGCTCCTTGACTTGCCTGCACTTTTTCCTGATGATCAAAGAGATCAAAATTGTTTTCAAAACAACAACCACCACAACTATGATTATCAAGGCTTCACCAGACATTTTTTTCCTCTCTCGAAAGCGTAGCGGATTTTCAGTGTGGTCTGGGCAAGTTGATCGGCCGAAAAGTCGCATTTATGATGTGGCACTGAATTTGCTTTAGTCCTAATCGCTAATCTTATCATAAACCACTGTCGATAAGTAGGCATAAGCAGATCTTTAATATTTTTTGTAAGAAAGTGTAGGAGTAGAAAAAATTCAATTTTTTCTCGAAAAAAAACCAAACTCTTTGCGAACATTCCATTGCCTTACAAAGTGGGGATAAAGACATGTTTGTAAGGCATCGGAAGTGCAAGTAAACCATTCGAATACTAGTCAGGAAAAAATTGTCTTTCGCCCTGACCTAAAAGCCCGAAAAACTGATTTTTCCCAGCAATTGTGAGAACTCAAAGTTGTTACCTGTACGCCGTTCATTCTGTTGTATTCTTCTCACTTGTTCACGCTTCAATCTGATGTAGTTCCTAATCAATACCGCTAAGATAATGGCAATCATTAGCAGGATGATAAATCCCAGCTCGTCCCGTTGTTCCATCCACATGGCTCAGAACGTCGCAAAAACACTCAGAAACACTTTTCGTCTGCACAACTTTGCCAAATTTGATCATTTCACAACTCGATTAAAATGTCGAAACAGATTGTTGCTGAAGGCAGTTGCTCGTCAGCAGGTGGGCTTATGGAAGAGAAGATTAGATGTTATCAGGCCTTAGAAGAATCAATATTTAACTGTATTAAACAGGCGAGCAAAATTGGGTTATACGGCAAGTATGTGTTTGCTCAGTAGAGTTGAAGATCCGGTCTGATCGCGATAAGTACGGCAAGTATTTGCTTGACATTGTTGTTCATTGGAAAAGCTCTGTACTGGTTTGGACCAACCCAAGGTGGTTTCTCCGCTTTACGATGGCTTCTAAATAAGCATCTATTGTTTTATTTTGCCTACAGCTGCGAGTCAAAAGTTTCATTCTAGTGAGCCTTCAGCAAAGGTGTGAAAAAAGAAAGAATTCGCCTGCCAAATGAATGCATTAGAAAGAGAGCCCGTAGGCGGAATGTGGGCGGGGTTTCAGGTGCGCGCTCTTTGTATATTCCAGCGGTTGTTTGCTACTCGCTCTAACACACTTGCCTTTATCAATCCACCTTGTTCCACTCCCATACCAGCTGTGACAGTTTAGGTAGTTGCAAAAAAAATGTTTCAAAATTGTGGAACAAACCAGTTTAATGCGCTATAGAGTTGCACATTTCATTATCATTTCTTTGGGTTTTTTGCATTGTACTCCTCAAACTTTTGGACGGCGCTGATGAGGTCGTTGGCGAAAGTTTCCGGACGTTCAAATGCGGCGAAATGCCCGCCCTCCAGGTCTGATAGTTGCAGATTGTTCGGGAACAATTCGCTAATTATACCGTCAGCTACGTAGAAATCGTACTCGAATCGTGCTATCGCTGTGGGGACTTTCAATGGATTGCTGAAAATGCAAAAAATAGTTAACGGATATTGAGGTCAAGTCATCGTTTTGCTTGAAACATTGGAAACTTTTGCTCGTTAAAAACTACTTGATTTTTTGGTCAATGCACGAGTATTCGTCAATGCACGAGTAATTATCGGTTTTTGCTTTGATTGGGATAACTAGGATAATTTGAGTTCATAACTTCAATTCGCAACATCAGTTTTCAATAAAAAAAAGTTTGCGTTTTGCGGCTATTGCCTGAAACTGGGCTTAAAGCCCGAAAAACTCTACAGTTTCCAGTTTAGCTATGAGTTCTTCGTGCTATAAAATAGGCCTCACCGTAGAACCCCGTGTGCTAATTGGTTCCTATTGAAAGATTCCGCATAGAGTCTAAACGATGTGGTTGCTGATCCGGTTATCCAGTAAACCATTAAATTGTCGACTAAAGAAGCATAAGAGTACTTTTCCTGAAGGAGATCTGCAGCGTCCTTTTCCAGGTAGTTCCGATTGGTGCCCAAGACGAATTTTTCCAAAATGTAGGCTGCCAAACCAGCTGGAGAGTCAGTAGCGCCCACACCTAGTTAAAGTAACAATTTAAAAATGAAAATAAGGAAAACAATGAAAGCGATAGTTTGAAGTTAAAGAAACTAACACAAATCTTACCAATAGTATCGGGTTTAGTGGCCTGGAGATGTAAATATCCAGTTTCCCTGATCCGATAGACGAATTTGTCCCATAAGGGAAAAACACGGTCTTGATGTTCGGGTTTCACAAGCCATGAAGGGCAAAAACTGCCCAAAATATACTTGATATACGACAGAGGAGTCATAATGGAAGCCATGTTGGTGTGATATCCCAAAACGTTCTCCGGATAGAGAACGGTGAGTGACTGGAGAATAATGGCTCCAAAATCTCCTCCTGGAATTTTCAATTTTGGAGAAAACGATGATTTTTTCAATAGAAACTATTATACATGGGTTTGGGACTGCAATAAAAACTCCTTTGATTCTTCAAAAGTTGCCGACGAAAAGGCGCCTTTTTTTCCAGTCCCAAACTTTTCCCAGCTGCTCCTACCTTGACAATAAAACTGCTTAAATCCCAGTCTAAACATCAAGTTCCTCATTATAACCGCAATTTGATTGGCTCCCAATCCAGGTTTGGATGCAGCCTGTGAAAATCCATAGCCCGGAATATGAGGCGCAATCACTTCGAACACAAAGTCCCTATCTTTGGCCGCTGTGGTCAGAATGGGGATGATTTCGTAGAACTCTCGAACTGATCCAGGCCAACCGTGTATGATCAATAGCGGCAACACCTTTTTATTGCCGGGATTTTTCGGCTTTACATGCAAGTAGTGAATATCCAGGCCTGGAAACTTACACCATCATTGCTCCGCTGCCACTGAAGCTCGGAAAACTCGGGTTTCTTACAGACATTTTCTTACCCTGAATATTTGTTTTGTATTGCGGGAATTGATTGAAGTAGACTTGGCGCTCCGTCCAGTTGTAATCGGTTCTCCAATAGTCCACCACTTTCTTCAGCAGGTTGGTGCTGAAACCGTATTGATGGTGGATGCCTTCCAGCGGCGGAACTAAAGGCCTCAAGTGGTCCAGGCGCCACTTTAGGTCCAATAAAACCTAAAAACCACTTGGCTTTTTTAAGATTTTAGCTCTCTCTCATCAAAAAAGCGCTAGCCAAGGTTTTCCTTGCAGGTTTATGAAATCTGCAGTTGCGTCATGTACATGCTGATAAATAAGCCTTCATTTATGGCTTGCAGGCCATTTTTGGCATTGTTTTTATTATTATTATTATTATTATCATTAGTGGACTTTGAACAGGACAAACGTTGAATACAAATCAAGCCCTGACTATTCTGGTGTGAAAACCTTGCGCCATAAAAAATCCTTTAGGGCCCAAAGTGGCATTTTACTACTGTTTTAACTGCCCAATTTAACCCCCTTTTGCGACCCCATCATCACCCACTGTCGAAAAACATTGCAAAAATACACTCGTATAACCGGCGATTTAGCGCTTGTAGGCCTGCCAGATTGCCTATAGTTTACATGCCGCTGTCAAAAAGTGGGCCTACTATGCGAGCAATCGCGGGCTAATCCGGAAACTTTCAAAACCGGTATTCGGAAACTGGTGAGTTTTTCGGGCTTTTAGACCGTCGTCGAAAAGAATTTCACATTGACGTTTCGAAAGCACCAGTGGCTTGTATCTTCAGAGTGCTTCCATTGTCTTTGCGGATGTTTTCATCACAACGTTTCGGTTGGTAGTATCTTCAACCGTTTTCAGCGCCCGCTTGAAAGACCATCGAGCACACCACCTCTGAAGATGCAACCAACTCGTGCTCAGATAAGGATGAAATGCGTTTGCAACCGCGCAAAACTCTCCACTTTCAGTTTACTGTTTGGTCTGAACTGCAATTCTGTTACCTCTTTTGGAACTTGAACTGTAAATGCCCTGATGGAATCATCCAATTTGTCCGGCTGTTTACCAGGTCCCCAATATTGAGATTCGTCGAATTTCGGAATGGGTTTGGGCGTAATTATTCGATAAAACAACACCCCGGTTAAGCCCGTAATCACTGCGAATAAAGCGAAAACAACTTTTAAGGCCCCCATGGTGGACTCTGGGTGTTCAATAGGTTAAACACGGCGATTTGAAGGTGTTTTTTCAAGATTAGTTTAGTATCTATGACGATAAGATTCACAGTTCAAGGCTGATGGACTGGAATTAGACGTGAAATTGTTTGTCGAGGCGCGTGGAAACAAACCAACCACTCAATTAACGAAGATGATTATTACTATTTTGCTATTACTATTCGAGGCCTAGAAATTGACCGAAGATTTTAAGAGAATTTTTTAGCACTGGTTGCTTAAAGTGTGAGTCTCTACTTGGGTTTATCACTTGCATTTGCTTGCCTGCATAGAGGGGAAAGTTCAAGTGGCCATTTGAAATTCCATGCAATAATTTGCTAAATTAGTATCTTGTTTTTTTACAAACTTCTT